CTCCTGAGTAGCTGGGATTACAGGCACTCGCCACCATGCCCAGCTGATTTTTTGTATTTTTAGTAGAGACGGGGTTTCACCATGTTGACCAGGATGGTCTCCATCTCTTGACCTCGTGATCCACCTGCCTTGGCCTCCCAAAGTGCTGGGATTACAGGCGTGTGCCACCGCGCCCGGCCCGGAATTTACGTTTTAAAGGTGGCTGCTGTTTTTGTTTGTTTTTTGGGGGGTTTAAAAACGTAACAGAAGTCGAAGGAATGATTTCAGAATTGATAGGTTACGATTTTAATAGTGACTATGTCTAATATTCAGATGTTTGTTAACAACAGTAGTCACATTTGAGCAATTTCTTCTCCTGTTGATTGGTAAATTGGTATGTAGACAGAAATGTATAGTTCACTAGTTTATTTCGACTCACATATTGTTGATTACATGAACAAGGTAGCACTGGAGTTTGTCTTGTTATTGGTTACAAACTTCAGGGTGCAGATCTTTCCACTTAGCCTTATCATGGACCAGATACTCTATCTCATTTGCTCATAAACCAAAATCCTGTAGCTTTTTACAGGGGAAATAGTTATCACGTGGCCAAATGAAGCAATTTGAGAATGCATTTAAAATGTAGGTATTAATTTACTGGGGAAAATACATAAATGTGACAAAAAGCTCACATTTGTTGTTGGTGGTTATTCTGAACCAAGTTAATAGGCTGATTAGACTCTCATACCCTTTGAGAAACATTAAGTGTCTTTTATGCAAAATTTTTGTGTTATATCCGCTTTGGGAAAGGAGTTTTAAACTCATAAGTACCTTCCACCTGAAGTTAGTTGAATGAATAAAATATATAAGGAAAACATGATGCAGCAGCACATTTCAAGTATTTAAGAAACAAGAACTAAAAATAACTTTTGATCCTAGGTTAATATGGAATTTGACCAGAATTATGAATAATTTTAGATTTTTTTTGAAACAAGTCTAAAATAAATGGATCTTTTAAAATTGGGGCATGGGAGGAGTAATTTACTGTATGCTTAAGCTCTTAAAATTGACTTTCTTTAAAAAAGAGAGTTTTGAACCATATAAGCATACACTCTAAATATTCTCAGTTATATATCCTGCAAGAGCTGCGTGTTTGTGCATCATAAAATATCAAGAAATATATTAAAAGTCTAAGTACATGTAAGACTAAAGGTAACTGGATCTCTTTATAGTTTTTAATGTGAATTTAATATGTTGTGACTGAAAGTGTTTCAGTGTGTAGCTGTGGCCATAAAACAGTTTAACTTAGATGCTTGTTAAAGGATAGGTAAAAATAAGATATGCTGATAAGAGTAAATAATTCACTTGCTATCTATACAGTGAAATTATTTTAAGAAATTTGTTCAGTTTGATCAGCCTGTTTATAAACTACTTGTAAAAATCAAGTAGTTTATAAACTACTCATTTAATAAATGAATTCACAGGTCGACTTATGTTGGAAATAGTTTATAAACAGGCTGAGCAAAGTCACATGTATATATACATATATAATCACATATACACATATAGACTAATTTTCTTTTGGAAGTAGGTAGACAAAACATTGAAAGTTTTTATTTAGTGGAAAGAGACTTTAAATGAAAGCTGATTATTGGACACCTCAAGTTAGTTTCTTTTGAGTAGTGATTACCATGTAGCAGCACCACTCGAAGATGTGACTCTTAGGAAAAGAAAGTTTGAGCCCAGGCTGGGTGCGGTGGCTCATGCCTGTAATACCAGCACTTTGGGAGGCCGAGGTGGGCGGATCACCTGAGGTCCGGAGTTTGAGACCAGCCTGACCAACATGGAGAAACCCAGTCTCTACTAGGAATACAAAATTAGGTGGGTGGGCATGGTGGTGCATGCCTGTAATCCCAGCTACTCAGGAGGCTGAGGCAGGAGAATTGCTCGAACCTGGGAGACAGAGGTTGCAGTGAGCCGAGATCACGCCATTGCACTCCAGTCTGGACAAGAGCGAAATTTTGTCTCAAATAAATAATAGTGAAGCCACCTGGCTCACGCCTGTGATCCCAGCACTTCGGGAGGCTGAGGTGGGTGGATCATCCGAGGTTGGGAGTTTGAGGCCAGCCTGACCAAATGGAGAAACCCTGTCTCTACTAAAAATACAAAATTAGCTGGGCGTGGTGGTGCATACCTGTAATCTCAGCTACTCGGGAAGCTGAGGCAGGAGAATCACTTGAACCTGGGAGTAGGACGTTGCGGTGAGCTGAATTCGCACCACTGCACTCCAACCTGGTCAACAAGAGCGAAACTGTCTCAAAAAAAAATAATAATAATTTTGAGAAAATTTAACAGATGAAAAAGATTCTGAAGAAAGTCCTCTTCCAGGATCCAGTGTCAGCACATGGTTTTGGATTGCTTATACTCAACTTGATTCTCATTTCACAATCCCCAAATGTCCTAATCCAAACAGAATAAGGTAGAGGTTAAAGAGAGAATTTTGAGGGGCATGTGTTATCTGTGTGTAAAGTCCCCGATTATTTTGGGGCCATAATGATGTAAAGGGCCAGACTTTTAGATTTCTAGAGAAATATTTTCCCAAAATAAGGAGGCTACAATAGAAATGCTGATTTGTTTATTTTTTTTGAGACGGAGTCTCACTCTGTTACCAGGCTGGAGTGCAGTGGCGTGCTCTCAGCTCACTGCAGGCTCTGCCTCCTGGGCTCAAGTGATTCTCCTGTGTCAGCTTCCTGAGTAGCTGGCATTACAGGTACGTGCCACCATGCCCAGCTAATTTTTGTATTTTTAGTAGAGACAGGGTTTCTCCATTTGGTCAGGATGGTCTTGATCTCTTCTTGGCCTTGTGAGCCACCGTGCCTGGCCTGATTTTTTATTTCTACCAGGTACAGCCAATAAAAACAAAATCACACCACTGTCTCCTGTCATCATCATTTCATTTAACAAAAGGATATTTTCACTCAAACAACTGGAAATAACAGAATCTCTCACAATAAATTTTATTTTTTATTTTTTTGAGATGGAGTCTTGCTCTGTCACCAGGCTGGAGTGGGACGATCGATCTTGGCTCACTGTAACCTCTGCCTCCTTGGTTCGAGTAATTCTGCCTCAGCGTCCTGAGTAACTGGGACTACAGGCATGCACCACCACACCCAGCTAATTTTTTTATTTGTAGTAGAGATAGTCTCGATCTCTTGACCTCATGATCTGCCTGCCTCGGCCTCCCAAAGTGCTAGGATTACGGGCATGAGCCACTGCACCCAGCCAGAATAAAAGATTTTTAAATGGAATCATTTAGTTATATTGAAAAGTTTACTTTCAGACTAGCCTGGCTAACATGGTGAAACCCTGTCACTACTAAAATATAAAATTAGCTGGGCGTAGTGTCATGCACCTGTAATCCCAGATACTCCGAAGGCAGAGGCAGGAGAATCACTTGAACCAAGGAGGCAAAGGTTGCAAGTAAGCGGAGATGGCGCCATTGTACTCCAACTGGGCTATAAGAGTGAGACTCCGTCTCAAAAAAAAAAAAAAATTTACTTGTGTGTCCTTACTTTTCCTCATTTTCCCATAAATCAATGAAAATTCTGCTGCAAACTTACACCAGCCTGCTAGCTAACATTAAGTTAGCGCTCCCTGCCCCCTTGGTTTGGTATACTGATCTCAAATCTAAGCTCTCCCAGTTCTTAGACTTGTGGCCTTATCTTCATGGTGCCTCAATTTCTTATGTTAAATAGGAATTTTTACACCTACTTATGGCCTGGCTCAGACCTGTAATCCCAGCTCTTTGGAAGGTTGATACCTGGCAGATCTCTTGAGCTCAGGAGTTTCAGACCAGCCTAGGCAACAGGGCAAAACCCTG